AGCAAATGTAAAAACTAAACAGAAATAATTAAGAAACAATCTTTGTTTTCTACCAAAAAAAATTTAAATCCTTAGATACCATGTGCTCAAAAGAAGGATAAACATTTCTTGCAAGTCTCTCTATTGTTGGTAAGTAGATTTCATTGATGTAGGTTATCAAAAAATTAAATATTATATACTGTATAGGTTATTATTACAGTAACAAGGTTCCATGCGATCATTTTCTCATCTTCTGTACAGAGCTGAGGATTCAGTAGTTAAGTAACAATGCTATACAGACCTACAGTGCCTGGTGGCCAAAGTACCAGCATGCTACAGGGCCATGGAGACCTGGGATAGGGACGTGGGCTGTGCCAGTGTGAACAGAGGTGCCACATTCTCATGGTGATGTATAAAAGAAACTTAAGAACCGAAAAAAAATGTACTGAATGCACTGTATAGGCTATTTTATGTCACGTTTAAACTAAATCCAGTTTGTGGGATAAAAGTAGAATAACTGTCTACCCACATTCAAAGCATTTCCGTATCAGGTTATTAGTTTCTGGTGATGAGTTGTTTTAGTTTACTTCCCCTTATTATCTTCATCAACGTTTTACTCAAGTGAGTGATTTCCTACTGTACAGAGAGAATAATCTGTTATCCAAGTTTGGCTAGGTATTCCCTGGGGTAAGAAGAAAAAAGCCAAGCAGAGAGACTGATAGATAAACACAAGAACACAAACTAATGTTGAAGGTTATAGCTGTTAGATTGCCTTTATGTAATAAACCATGCTTTATGTCACACTGATGAATTTAGTCTTGCTTGTTGGAACCAGGTCTGGAAAGAAGACAGGAGAGGATAAAGAAAAAAGATCTGCTCACTGTGCCAATTTTAAAAAAGCTGCAATATCCGTGACCACAAGATGACATCATGAAATGCCTTGTTTTATCTGACCAATATACAGTACACTTACTGTCATATATAATTAAGAAGATCAGTTAATTGTTAGATTTGAGAAGCAGGAACTATCAAATCTTTGGGATTGTTGTTTGAAAAGGGATCAATGAAAATATTTTTTTCAATTGACAAATCTTTGCAGCTCTACTTTGAAGATCTCGGTGATCAAAATATTGCTTTATTAAATTAATCAGAAGCTATTTATACAGTGTGGAGATCAGATTTTTGTTTTTTTTGATCCAGCAACTTTACACAGTTGGTTTGTGAATGCAAACACTCTCCTTTCTTCAGTGTGGAAGCAACAAGAGACTCCTGACCCAGTCCACAGAGCACCAGGGCCCAAAACAAGACTCAGAATTAAAACTTGAAAACAAAACCAAACCCCATGGTTTCCTTCAGTCAAATACATTATTATTTAATCATTATAAAACAATAACCAAGTGAGTCACTAAAGCACTGAGAGAGCTGGAGGAGCTGAGGGAGCAGCGCACAAAGCACAACAAAATTAGTATCCTATTAGTTCTGACATGTTTCGACCATTTGGACATTCAATCTGTAAGACCTGTGATCAGATCAGAATATTACTTTTAGGGCACGAACAAGTGACAATGGCTTGGTGGGTAAAAAGGTAATTGCAGGCCAGAAACACATTCATTTGGACCACATATTCAATGTGGAGGTGCAGTGGGCTGTATAAGGCATGGATGTAACATTTGTGAGACAATCAAGAAGTTTACTTGTCATCATTCCCTAAGTTACTTTATCTACATCTTCTGTGCGATTGAATGACTGAAAAACCGACCTAGTCTAACTGGATGAATTAATTCAAGTAAAGCCATATGCATATGCACACACACACACACACACACACACACACACACACACACACACACACACACACACACACACACACACACACACACTCGCACACACACACACACACACTCGCACTCGCACACACGCATGCATATACACACACACCTTAGCGCTGGTGCAGGGTTAGATAAATAAATTAAAGGTAGATCAACAACATGATGCTCCAAGACAGTTTCCTGCAAAGCATGTCACAGAGCATCATCCTCCTGATCAGATTGAACTTATATTTGACAGCAAAAATGCCAACAGCAGCACAGCAAATTGATGTTAAACAGAAGCTAAACAGGCCCAGCTGAGTGGGCCTACACTTCTGATATGCTGATTTGGTTGCTGTTTGACATTTTCATTTCATTTCTTTTCTTTGTTTTTGTTTTTGCCAAGTCTGCGAGCTGACCTCAGCCCCTTGAACAAAGAGCTGAAGGAAGCGGCCAAGCAGTGTAAAGCCATTCACACATTTAGATAGACTCCACATCCCAGCTCCAGAGCCCTGGGCCCCACAGCTGCATCCTTGACAGAATGCGAGAAAGAGAGACAGAGAGAGCGAGACAGGCAAAAGAAGAGTAAAATACAATCAACAGGACTTTGTATGTGGCAAGACAAAAAGCGATGCAGGAGCAGGACTGTGACAAACTGGCCCGAGACATGATTGAGTTGTACTGATCAGGCCATGCTCCTGCACAGCCGCCTGGACTTCACTGCCAGTAGTGTGGATGCCAGAAGCCTGGGCAGTAGTTAGAGATAATGCTTTCGTGAACACACACAGGTACAGTGGCTCTCTCTACTACTTTAAGACACACATTCTGCCTTGAGAGCCAGCTCGTTTCACCTTCCATGTTCTTGATGATGCTCTTCTTTTGCCAGTGTGTACCCTGGTCCTTTCTTCACTGCAGGCTTCACCTCTCAGTCTCCCTTTTGGTTTCTGTGTTGACTTCAAGCCCACCCTCTTCCCCTTATGTTCAGTAATGTCAACCTCCATTTCCTTGTCCTCGTGCTCCTTCCCTCCCCCAAACCAAAGTCCAGTCACTGCACCACTAGGTTTCTATGGTACAGTAAAAAAACAAACAAACAAAAAACTAAACTAAACAAGCAAGAAAGAAAACAAACAAACAAAAAAAAAAAACAATGAACAGAAATCTTTTAATAAAAAGCAGAGCCCTGGGCAGTTTTGTCTTTTTTCTTTGCAGTTGTTACTTGCTCTTGCAACTATAAAGACAGGTCTGCATCTGCCTGTACTCTCTCTCTCTCACACACACGCACACAAACACACACAATGCTCATGTACTCAGACACCCATGCAAAGCCCTGCTCACAGGAACACACACACTCTCTTTCTTGCACAATCATTCTGATACAAGCCCTGCTCATTTCTAGTGGTGGTCAGTTAGACATGCAGAAGTGGGGAATGAGGACAGGGTAGAGAAAAGGTTCCTAACTCATAAAGGGAAGAGGGCAGGCGTGTGTCAGACTGTGTGAGTGTGTTGACGGTGAGGTCTTATTTCAGCTGCCATCTCCTTCGATATTTTGTATCCTCATCACCTGTCGAGGGAGGGAAAAACTGAATTTAGGACACATAGTAACTAGGATGATCAGTCTATATCTAGGGGTTTCTACTAGAGAGGGAAGGCATGATGAGGTTTGAAATAAAGTACCTGGTCACAGAAGGTGAGATAAAAAGAATTTAGGCTGAATTAGATTTGCAGGACAGAGAAAAAAAGAGTAGAAGAGACTTGTTAGTAAAATCTGATTTTCAGCATTTCAACACAAACTTTTGCCAGTTTTAAAAAAACTTTAATTTTAAATATTTCAGACTCACAAAACTAGATTTTTATGGAATGGTTTGTCTGAAAAGTGAAACAAAAAGGCTGAACATACCTTCTAGATGGTTTCTGGAGATATACTTAAGTGCCTCATCCAGGAAGATGACTGGGACAGAAATCTTCAAGACCACAATCCACTGGGACAAGCGCAGAGGGGTCACCTGGAAGATCAACTGAAAGACAGAGGGGATATGGAAAAAAATCAGCGACTTTTCTAGTAATGCATCCGATGGTAGATTGGGTTATAATCGACAGTGTGCAATGTGCACACAGTGTGCCTTTTCTGTGATCGGCATGAAAGATCAATGCGCTGCAACTTCACAGGCAAGAAACAAAAACAACTTCACTACCTTTACAATATAAAAATGCTACAAACTGAGAAAACACTAGTAAACGCAGCAACATGCTGCAAAACGGAAAACAAAGCCAAATATAGAAATGCTGCAGCTGCACAGAACACAGTGGAAACCAGTTACAAAACAACATACATTTCCAGGGGCCATTAAAAAGTGATTAACACACCCGCTATATTTAGTGACCCATGGAAACTTCTGTTATTCTTGCTGAATCCAAACTTCCACTCTGAACTTGTAAAATGATCCTCATAGACTTCAGACATTCAGCCTTTGTTTGTTCTGTGCAGCTTGTAGCATTTCTGTATTTGGTTGTGTTCCCTCAGTGTGCAGAGCTTTCAGGGCCACTGTACCTTTCTGAGATATTTTTGCCATTCAAAACCACACTTCTGTTAACACTGTTAAGAAGAATGTGATGCATTTGGACCATGAGTATTATCAGTATGCACTTTTCGCATATTCCCATAGATGCAAATGTAGGCTCACTCACAGTGACAGAATCTATTGAAACACCCAAAATACTGTCTTGAGTACTCACTGGCAGAGGTTCAACGTAGAGGATTAAGAAGTGGAGGGAGAGAGAGAGGATGATTGCACCCAGCAGCCAAATATTGACCCAGGGAGGCATCCTGAGCAGGGACTGGTTCTCAGACAAACTGACAGGGAGAGGTTTGAATGAATCAAAACATACTGATAACTTAGCTGCTCAAAGTGATACTTTGACCTTACATGGAAGTTATTCCATCATGGTGTAAACATCCAATGAAAAATATTCTGGCAAGCTCACAGTTTTTAAGATTTGATTCGTTTCCCATAGTTACAGCTACGTCACAAATAAAGAAGTGAAGAATGTTTAATTTGCAGTGTCTCTGCACAGAACCAAATCATAAGCACAAATCTCCCTTCTTATGTGGTGCTAGCAACCATGTAAACATGTGTTCCCTCCTGGATTTGGATAACATGCACATTCACTGGTCAGACAGCTCTTTATTTTATCCATCCCTTCCTCAGATTCTTTCCTAAATAAGACATTAACATTTGTCTCTATAGGGAGCTACTGACAGACTTTCTCCATGAGCAATCCTGGCAAAAACACAGTTTTCCCTTCATACCACTGTTCCTTTTATTTTCTACCTCACCAAAAAGGCATTATTCCATTTCTTAAGATGTGTGGCTAAGCCTGATTCATTTGCCACATTCACCAAAGGCAGGATAATACAAATAAGGCCATTATAAACAGTAAAATTAAGTCCTTTAGCAATGAAGTGAGATGTGTTTTTTTAGCATGGAAAGTATATGTTTAAATCTTTCTCCAAGTGTTGTTTGGCTGGACGAGTGGCTCTTCCTTTTCATAAACATCTGACAACTGTGAAACTGTTTATTTCGACATCACAAAAGAAGGCAACTGACCTATTGAGTGCGTTGAACATTTCGACAGTGACCAGCACAGACAGGGCCATGGTGGTTGGGTAGCGTGATTCAAACACCTCACACTCTGTTTCTTGGAACATGGGGTTGTCTTTAGTACACTGCATGAAGTGCCTCTGCAGAGACAGACAGACAGACAGACAGACAGGAGTCAGTCTATGTGTGTGTGTACATGTGTCTGTGCCTGTGTGTGTCCCCAGAACCCCTGTGGCCTGGTTTGATGGAGTTCAGATCTGATGGAGAAACAGCTGCAGAAGCTTGGCCTCATTCCCACCCTGTGTGCAACCAAACCACACAGGTCTTATTTCCCTTTCTATTTATGTGCATTGCTGCAATCACCAAATATCACTGTGTCCAGTAGCAAGAAATGCAAAGAAGGCATAGAGAGTGGTGCATACTAAAATATATAACCCCTGTCTTCTGAGGACAGGACTGTGCTGCAGCAAAAAAGGCATACTGAACAGAACAAGGCTTTGCAACTTACCAGCTGATAGAAAGACACCTGTGGGCCTTCTTCATCAAACAGGTACCACCATGTGGCTGCGCTCACCGTTCCAAGACCCACATATCCTACAGGAAATACAAGAAAAGTTTAATAGTTTAGAGTGCATTATTAGCTTTTATCATGACAACAGCGGGTCCTGCACAGCTGCTAAATAATAGTAATATTCTACTGTCTGATATGTGTTGATGCATGCATTGTAGTTGCCTTAATATCCAGAATAAAGGGGCTTCTGTGAACTTAAATGATGCAACAGGAATTTCATGTTACTTTTTTATGCTAACATTACTCTCTTTGGTTACATTTCATTGTCACATGCACATTTGCAGCTGTAAACTGGAAACCTGTATATACTCTGACACAATCACACTGATTAACGGGATTTCATTATGATCAGGACTAATACTACCTCCAATAGCCAGGTATCTGAAAAAGAGCCAGCCAGAGATGAGAGGCTCCTTAGGGTTGCGAGGAGCTTTGTCCATGATGTCCAGGTCTGGAGGGTTGAAGCCCAGGGCAGTGGCAGGAAGGCCATCTGTCACTAGATTAACCCACAGCAGCTGGACTGGAATCAAAGCCTCAGGGAGGCCCAGGATGGCTGTCAGGAAGATGCTGCAGACAGACCAAGAAAAAACACACAAACATCAGCTGAGGATGACTGAAGATGAAGACAATCCCACACGGTGGCTACACCTCAACGTATTTCTGTTCCTCACCAGACTACTTCTCCCACGTTAGAGGAGATGAGGTATCTGATGAACTGCTTCATGTTGTTGTAGATGGCTCTGCCTTCCTCCACTGCAGCCACTATGGTGGAAAAGTTATCATCAGACAGTACCATCTCAGATGCTGACTTGGCCACTGCAGTTCCGGATCCCATGGCAATGCCAATCTCTGCTTTCTTCAGAGCTGGGGCATCATTCACACCATCTCCTGTCTGGGACAAGATGGGATAACTTGTGCCATTAATACATCAGAAAACTTGACATGTATCTCAATTCTCTGGCATGGTCTTCGTAGACCGCTCTGCTGGTGTGCAAAAAATTATGGGATAAGGTGGGCCTCAAAGTATCAGCCAGTTGGAGCCTTAATTGCCTGGAAATAGAAGGAAGCATTTCTAGAGTGCATCTGAGGGACCATTTGAAATGGGATGGCCTTGTCGCAACACTGTGAATCAAGTGGTTTTCAAATGCAGCCTTTGATGGGTGCATCCCCTGAATTGAGACAGCTTGTATTTGATTGAAAGACTCAAGAGCCATAATTTCTTTCAGAAATAGTTTCTGAGGCCGCAGCACTAACTGTACACACAAAAATATTTTGTGGACAAGAGCTGCCTTGAAAAGAACAGAGATTTTTCAGGATCAGAAACTTGGTTAAGCCTCTTTGAAGTGAAAATGATTTTAGTCGCTCATAAACCAGTGTCATGTGGTGTATTAAACATGACACACACAAAATCAAAAATGTTATTACTATTGCTTCAAATGTGAACTCTCTAAATACTGAGCCCACATTGTTGTTTTACAGAGGCCTGTTCTTTAAACAGTGATGGGCCTAACTAACTAACGATGACTGAAATCAAACTATCTCATTATGCAAAATATCATTATCGTTTCAGATCCAGACAGGATTAACCTTTAAGGGGGATATTTGTCTGTCGCAGCAGGGCCTTAAGTAGCTTAATGCTAAGGTGAATGGTGGAGTCTGACAGGCAAACGGTGATATGGCTGTCTCCCTCCCATCTTGCCCTTGGATCAACCCCTCCTCAGAGACATGTGTCAGATAGGAAGCAGTGGAGCAGGCCAGAGATGACAGCTTTAGATAGCCCTGTCTCAGAGAGCAGCCTCACAGAGACCTGAAACATGTTATGCCTCACTAGCCTCTTCTCATGCATCCTCGACAAGTCATTCACATAACACACATCTGAAGCAAAGAGAAAATGCACTTCTGCTTAGGTACATAAATAAAGTAGTATATGACAAAGGAAGTATACAATGTGCAGTTTGGAATGAAAAGGAGAAGTGGGTTGCTTCCGGTGCCAGTAAGAATCATTAGAGCTCTGAGCTGAATCAAGTTGCATCATCACTTTTCCTCACCATGGCAGTAATTTCATTGAATGACTGCAGGTATCCAACGATCTTAGACTTGTGAGCTGGCTCGACACGGGCAAAGCATCGTGCTCGTTTGACGGCTTCTCTCTGCTCCTCTGGTGGGAGATCATCGAACTCACGGCCCGTGTAGGCTTTCCCTGTCACGTCCTCGTCTTCCCCAAATATGCCAATTCGTCTGCAGATGGCCACAGCTGTGCCCTTGTTGTCTCCTGTGATCATGATAACACGTATACCTGCCTCGCTGCACAGTTTCACTGAACTGACCACCTCCTTCCTGGGTGGGTCAAGCATGCCCACACAGCCAACGAACGTGAGACCTAACTGATTGGAGAAAAAGAAGAAAGAGAGAAGGGGGATTAGGTTGCACAGGGCTGTTATCTGAAAACAGAATCTCACTGCAATTCCACCGAGATGGAATTTACCACTTCTATTCTTTGCCTCCTCGTGTGTTGCTATTGAAAACATCACACTGATTACTTTCAAGGGTATCAATCAAGGGTAAAGGCTTCATTCTTTAAGAGGACAAAGGCCTAATGATTACTGTGATTCAGAAAAAGAAAGACATCTGAAAAGATGATATTAAAGAAATAATTTGATCATCTTTCAGAAAAATTTATCTTAAAATTGTATTACTTGTTTACAAGGTTCTGGACGGTTTAGCACCTCCATATTTAGCCACCAGTCTTTCAAACTGCTATTTCATTAAATGTACCCAGATGGAGAGGCTGCCTTTGCCTTTTGAAGACTCAAACTATACAATAACCTTCCCATGAATATCTCAAGGTTTGGGTTGTATGTACAGTATGAAACAAATCAAGTTTATCATCATTAAGGAAAATAAACATATTTGCTTTCTTGCCAATAGTTAGATGTCTAGATTAATACCACACTCATGTCTGTATGGTGAATATGAGGGAGGAAACAGTTTAGATTAGCTTGAAGACTGGAAATGGGAAAACAGCTACAGTATACCAGCACAGTTTTAAAAAAACTGCTTAACAATGTAGTGTGTTAATTAGTGAGCTTTACAGGTACCAGTAGGAAAATTTTGTTTCTATATTTGGACAGAGGCAGGTATTTTTCTATTTGTCCCTGCTGTCACTTTTTAGTCTAAGCTAAACTAACTGTTGCTGGAAGTAGCTTCATATATATCATGTTATCGCTGTTCTCACCTAACTCTCAGCAAGAAAGCAAGGAAGTCTACTTCCCAAAATGTCTAATGGTTCCTATATATCCTGAAAATGTCACTAGTTACAAAAGGAAGACTGAACACATGGATTCCTAAGGTAAAGACCTGATGTTCCCAGGGTGTTCTACCTCATACTGTGCAAACTTGTTGGAATTCTCCAAATCCATGTCCTCCTTGCGTGGCGGGTTGTCATGAGTGGCCAGAGCCAGGCAGCGCAGGGTATCCCTGCCTGTCCCCCAGTCCCTGATCTTAGACAATAGCTGGTCACGCAGGGCTGGAGTGAGTGTTACCTTCCTTGTTCCCACCCGCAGGTAATGACAGCGTTCAATCACACTCTCTGGAGCACCCTGGAGGAAAAGATTGTCATTGACACAAAAGAAGAAATCAAGCAATGGGGAAATTGGAGATGAAATGGATGTAAAGAAAAGTGTGTTTCTCTGTGTATCTGTAATTGTATTATTTATTCATGCCTTGATGAACATCTTGCTCTGGGAGCCCAGTTTGACGGGGGTGCAGTAGACAGACATGGACTTGCGGTCACGAGAGAACTCCAGGGTGAACTCCTTCTTCATAAGCTGTCTGATGACCTGATGGTTGAGAAAAGGAAACAAGGACAGGAAAGAAAGTGACAAAGAGGGGATTGAGCTAAGTAGCTGTTTTCACGGGCAGCTGTCAGGACAGCAGCCGGTGGAATGTCAGAGATATGGCTGAGCTACTGACAGCTGAAGGATTACACTTTAGACTGAGCACTCAAACACCTTGTCTGGATGTCTGGCTGCTACCAGATGTCATTGCAGACCTGGCTGAGGACAGTCAGCGACAATAACAAGATGTATATGGAAAACAATAGCTAAATGCTATCCAGAAGGCATAGCACAACACTGTAGGTTTATAGTAGGAACACAAAATTCAGCCTAAAAATACCCCTGTTCCTTTCATGATGTATTATCAGCATATAATGTCAAGTGCGCTTCTACCAATAGGTGTCCCTCTAGTTCAGAGTCTGTGCTGATCCCAGTGCACATCAAAGGCTGAAAGGTTTACACTGATAATGCTCTCTGCCCAATCAGACACACACCCTGTCAAGGCACTGCAAACATTGAATGGATGTCCTGGAAGCTGTCAAAGTGACAAACGTCTCTGTCAAACAGGAAAACAATGGGTGTTTATCTTGGCATGCCATGCTGGAAAACAAACTTTGTACACCCAAAAGACATCTGAAAAGTTTGGAAATGTTATCTCATCTAAAACTTTCTGAGGATGCATATTATTAAGTAATGCCCTAGATTAAGCAGGTTTCAGAGGTATGATTTCAGTGAGAGTTCTGTCACTACAAGGCTCATCTCTGCTGAGACGTGTTTGTCACTGACAAGCTTTGTTCTTCCTTGAAGTAAGAGCAACAAGGATGACCTTTACCTACAGTAGAGTGTAAAAGCTATCGAAGTGACTAGTTTCAACACAGTGGCACTGAAACACCAGCATCAGCTTTGTCACCTCAATGGTTATTCAGACACCACTACTCTCATGCACATGTCCGACTCAACACTTTCAACATAGAACTGACATCTTAAAGAAGAACAAGCACTAAATATGTGACAAGGTGTCTGCAAAACTGTCCTAAACTGAAGTTAATGCAGCAGGCTTTGTCTTTACAGAGGTAATAAGTTATATTTTAATTATCCTTATGAATGCCACTTTTAATGAATAACCTAACAATCACAAGTTCGCACCCTGAAGTCAAACATATGTGTCTGTTTAACTTCAGCCCTGTGCTTTATTAAATTTGAGAGGAGTAATTACATTGTAATTGGCATATTCATGTTGGGAAGTGCAAAGCCTGCAGCAGTGATACAAGATGGTGAAGCAAACATTGTTCTCACAGCAGTTGAATTAATTAATGAACCGTAATTCCATATAAATTTAAACAGACTTCTTTTTAACATACACACATGTAAAAAAAATTGTTGGTATCCTTCTGCTAAAGAAAAAGAAACTCACAACGGTCACTGAAATAACAGGAAACTGACAAAAGTAATAATCAATAAAAATTTACTGAAAATCAGTCATTGCTTTTGAATTGTGGTTCAACAGAAGCATTTAAAAAAAACTAACTAATGAAACTGGCCTGGACACAAATGAAGGTACCCTTAATGTAATATTTTGTTGCACAACATTCTGGGGCATTTACTGCAATCAAGCGATTTCTGTAACTCCCAATGAGACTTCTGCACCTGTCGACAGGTATTTTGGCCCACTCCTCGTGAGCCAGCTGCTCCAGCTGTCTCAGGTTTGAAGGGTGCCTTCTCCAGACTGCATGCTTCAGCTCTTTCCACAGATGTTGCTCTTAGCCATTCTTGGGTGTTTTTAGCTGTGTGTTTTGGGTCATTATCCTGTTGAAGGACCCATGACCTTCAACTGAGACCAAGCGTTCTGGCACTGGGCAGCACATTTCACTCCAGAATGCCTTGATAGTCTTGAGATTTCATTGTACCCTGCACAGATTCAAGACACCCTGTGCCAGATGCAGCAAAGCAGCCCCAGAACATAACTGAGCCTCCTCCATGTTTCACAGTAGGTACAGTGCTTTTTTCTTTGTAGGCTTCATTATTGCATCTGTGAACATAGAGCTGATGTGATTTGCCAAAAAGTTCCAGTTTTGTCTCATCTGTCCAAAAGACATTCTCCCAGAAGCTTTGTGGCTGGTCAATATGCATTTTGGCAACTTCCAGTCTCACCTTTTTATAAGTTGCTTTCAACAGTGGACTACTTTTCACAGTGACTACTTTCCACCCTCTAAATAGACAGACTGACTGATTACAAGTTTGAAAACACCTGTGATGCTAATTAGAGGACACACTTTAGTTTAACATGTTTCTATGGTCAAATTATTTTCAGTCCTTTCTAGGGGTACCATCATTTTTGTCCAGGCCAGTTTCATTAGTTTGTTTTTTAAAATTCTTCTGTTGAACCACAATTCAAAAGCAGTTTCTGATTTTCATTATTTAATTTTCAAAAACTTTTTATTTATTATTACTTTTGTCAGTTTCACATCATTTCAGTGACCATTGTGAGTTTCTCTTTCTTTAACAGAAGGGTACCAACAATTTTGTTCACCTGTGTACATATATGCTGGTAGAGGGTATACACCGATGAGGTATTAAAAGAGAACTCCACTAATTTAACATTGCAGCTCTGTAACAGTGTTGGACAGTTTTAAAACAAGAATTCTGAAAAAGCAGAACCAGAAATATTATCTTTTTTATTCAACACATTCTTCTTCCTTATCAGCCCCCCCCACACACAACCTGTAGTGGAACTTCACTGCCAACAGTTCAGTTAGAGATTCAGATATGTTTGTAGCTGCTAATGTAGTCTTGAGCCTCAGGCAGACATGAGGAGTGGGCTACAGAGTTCTGGTCACCTCACTTCAATGCCATACTCCTTACTTTCAAACTTGTAGTCTTCACATGTAACTAACATCGACTCCAGAAACATTAGGACATTTATAAGACTTCACCAGCTCTCTTGGAAGCCAGAAAAGGCTTTAAGCAACTTTTTCATATATGCAGTGGTACAGTATTCCCCAACACCTGTAAATAGACTCTGATGTGTAAACTCGATGGAACTCCCTTTTAAAACAGACAAACATTCCAGCACAGGGTCTCACGCACACATCTCATACCGTGTTGCAGCCAGAAGCACGTTCAACCTTGCTGAGGGCAGATAGATCAGTCTTGAAGACATTCATCTTCTCCACCAAGGTAGTGAGAGCCGTCTCTGTGGCTTCACCCACCTTCTCATAAACCCCTTTGGCCTGCAAGAGAACAGAAATACATCAAACACACATCTTAGGTTGTTAAATAGGAACAATCCTCTTCTGCCATCCACAACCTTTGAGTCATATGTGCAAAGTGGTTTCAAATGTCTGTACTTGCCAACTGAGAAGTGGAGTAGGTGAGATGAAACAGTAATGGCGTACCACACATCATTTGTTTGTTTGACTGGGCATAGACAGTAATAAAAACACCTCACTCCCCCCGCACTCCAGCACTGCTGTGGCCCACTCTCTCTCTCCACTTTGATTTCACACTCTGGCTCTATATTAAAAATGTACAAAACTGGTGGCATAATGGCCATTTGAACAGAAAACAGTTAGTCTAGGGAGGAAACACAGGTACTGTGATGTGCCTTATCCCTGGCCTCTCTTCTCAGCATGGTTACCATGATAACATGGTGATAACAAAGAGGTGAGAAAAAGTAATCCGAACCAGAGAACAAGACTGTGAATCAAACTAAAATTAGCTCAACTGAAGAAGAAAAGAAAATGCCTTCTGTAGTGTGTGCTTGTGTGTGCTATTTTTCTTGGAGTCACTGCATTTATGTACAGTAAGTGTACAGTACTGTACATACATACTGTAAATGCATGGGGCTATTTACAAAGAAACCTGACCTACAGTGCTGTGTGTGGCAGATGGTTTTATTTTGCATAGAATCTTAAAGCTGCATTAACTACGATTTAGCACAAATTTGGATAGATCAAGTAAAAAATGATCTAGAAGCGTTTTCTCTCTACTGTACTAACCCTGCCCCCCCACTCCACTCTGCTATCTTCAGGCCTTGTGTTTATTTCTTGTCCTCTGTGGCCGCTGTTGTTAAAATCTTCACTGCACTTTTTCTTTGACCCTGCTGATCCGACAGCCTATTGCCGTTATATGTTAACCTAACTGTCTGTCTAAGGATGTTTTATTGCTATGAGCTTTCTTTTTCCTTTTCTCTTTTGATAGTGAAGAACTTTGTAACCCCGGTTTAAATAGGTGCTATACAAATATACTTTTGCTTTGCATGTAACATTTTAGTGAAAAGTTGTTAAAATTTCAACACAGCTAGAAAAGTAGGGAGTTAGTTCAACTATCGTAACATGAAATTTCTTGAATCACATACAACTCATGATTATGTGTGTCAAGTTTGTAACACTGAACGCAATGCAACAGCGGCTGGAACATTAGTACGGTATGTATATTGCTGGGAATAACGTTCCCTGTATAATTGTTTTGTGTTACTGCAGATACATCTGCTACAAACAACATCAGACATACATATGCATTTCTTAAAATGTAAACCTCTCTACTTGACATTGTATTGCTGCAATGTCACTCAAAACCACAGTCGCTATGGGCTCTATATTCCGTATACATTAGCTGTGGAGCCAGTTATCACTGCTGCGCTACCTGACTGGGAGAACTGTCTCTGGCTGTCATGACCACATATGACATAGTTTCACAGACAGCGCAGGAGGATACTGCTTGAGTTTGTTTTGACTCTCATTTCACCCTTAACAAATGAAAATTAGAGGGAAAAGTTAGTTAATGCAGCTTTAAAAATTCTAGCTTTGTTTCTGTGTATGTGTGTATTATTGACCTCATTGTAATCCAGTGAAGAGTCATTGCACATAGAGCACACAGTGGCTAACTCCAAAAGTGCATCATAGTCTCCACACTGGATGGGCATGTCTTCTTTCAGTCTAGAAGGAAAACACACACACACAAACATCACTCACAAACAGCAACAAAGGAAACTACAGTTCACTGCACCTAAGACATAACCCCATCAGTATTTATGAGTGGGGAAGACATTCAGTTATATATCATTCCAAAGTTGACAAGGGAAACTATATTTGTACAGTAGTTAACAGTGTATATTTGTGGTGTGTTTGCATGTTCCTGACGAGCAGTGCTGACTGCATGACAACCATGGATCCCTTCCCAGCAGAGAATGGAACTGTTGCTAGCGAAGCTCCCACACAAAAACCCACACTCTGCTGTTATGAAATCAACAGGTTTGTGCAAAGTCAGAATGTTGTACTCACTAAACAGCAAAATAAACAACATGCAAACACTGAACTGCAGAAATAGTTCTCCTACACAGTGGCTAGCCACCTACCTATTCCTCCACAAACACCTGTTTACTGAAATAATTTTTTTTTTTTAAGTCATTCTGACAGGGCAGAAATCAAAATGATCACAAAACTATAAATCTGAAACCTTTGTTCAATTTAAAAGTACAAATTTATACAACCACCCAAAAGTGTGTGCTATTCAACAGAAATGCAGAACAGCTGAGGCTTAATGGTGGTATAATTTTGCATGGTGGTTACACACATTACAATAGGCAATAGAAACAACCAGGTTTGCCAACTATTTCTTTGGTTATCACAGGCATTGCCACAGTTCCCATAAAGCCCAGCTAGCCATATGTTTATGAAATCATTAGCTGTGTTGGATTATAAACCACATTACCATTTGCTTGACTACATCTATTTACTGTCTATTACAGGGGTTTTCAACCAGTGGTCGGTGGCCCCCACTGGTCTGCAAAGGTATTGCTGGTGGTCTCTGATCATACATTCAATAATGTATATTAGCTTCACTGTGGGAATCTTTATGTTTTATTTTATTTCTTACATTTTTTTCCATGTATTACTTATTGTTTGTGAATAATCAAATTCATGCAACTATATAAAATTCTGAAAAGTCAAGGTGACTGTCAGGATTAAAATAGTGCTGATCTGGTGTAGCCACCCCACAACAGGGTGTCCTCAGCAACCAAACAGGTCAGGAACAGAACCCAGCAGACAGTCAGAAGTGCAGAGAAAATCATCGGTGCCAGCCTGCTCTCCATGGAGGACCTGTACACCTCACGGGTCAAAAGGAGGGCAGAAAGGCTTTCTGCGGACCCCTCACACACTGGACACAAACTCTTTCAACTCCTCCCCTCTGGACAGTGCTACAGGTCACTGTATGCCAAGACAACCAGACACAGACACAGTTTCTTCCCCTGGGCTATTACACTCTTGACCAGCTAGTCTATGTTTGCTCTTTTAACTTGTATATACCGTATATATTGTATTTATTTTGTTTTTATTGCTGTGCACATTGAGGGCCATTGGGCTGGAGTCAAATTCCTTGTATTTTTGATAATACTTGGCAATAAAGTTTATGCTTATCAGTTATCATCTAGTCCTCACGTTACTGCTTAGTCACAATCCCTGGGTCACAATCAGTTGAAAACCTGTGGTCTATTATGTCTTGTCTTGAAGAAAATAGTTCAGAGTACTTGAAATCAGTGTAAAATTCTTTCTTGTAATTGGAAAAGCACAGACACATTTTTCATATACTGAGGTATTAAGGTGGACAAACTTTACTCAGTCAAATTAAGAGATATTTAAGCTGTGATACTCACATCTGTCCCTCAGGGGCATATGTAGAACCAGTTATATAGAACTCATGAAGAGAGCAGATTGAATCTTGCACCTTGTCTGCAATGAACATCTGGAGAGGAGAAAAGGCAAACACATGCAGAAGCAGTATAGTTACCTAATCATTCATTACAAAAGCACAGTGCTTGAACAAGCATGGTTAACATCTACACACGTATTTCTTTGTTTTCATCATTGGAATATTACATTTTGCGTAATGACTCACCTATAAAATTGTGGCATTTTGAGATAAATACTGTACTCAGTAAACAACTTAGCGTACATTGTAGCTTCAGTTAAGAGTCTGAACAAACATATAGATGATATTTAAAGTATATGATATGATAGTAAAAAAGTTTTCATCTACATGAACTGTCCCTTAAAGAGACTGAAGACATCAGTGTGTGACTTTTGCATCACATATATCATGGCCAAAAGTAACAATTATGGACAAATGGTAGCGCAAATCATAAACAGTAGTAAAAACAGAGGAGAAGCATAATGTCATATAGTAGGGATTTTGAGCAGTTGAATTGCCAAGTGATTTACTGCCATTGCGTTGCTAACTTTCAGTTCACACATAGGGTGCCATGGTGTCAAAACACACTTCAAATAAGCAGTGAAAGCTGCATCTTGTGCAAATACTATTTATTTTATTTTATTTATTGGAGTTGCAGTTCAGACCACAACCAAAAACTCAAAGAAAATCTAGAGTCAGTGACGAAATCTTTTAGACTAAAGGCTTTTCCACCTGCTGACAACCTGCTTGTGCAGCAGTTGCTGTACTGCCACCTCTTTCCCAGCTTTTTCAGTGTTTCCAAACACGCAGCGAACACAGGCACTGCACTGCTCACATCTTGATGTAAAGCTTCATTAGTCATTCACACTACTATACACGCTCCAGTCACCTGCTAGAAAACAACACAGCAGTCAGAGAAAGTAGAGAAAGAGTCCCAGAGCTGTGTAGGGATTTGCTTTGATTGCAAGTTTTCTTTCTGAAGTCCTCCCCAGGAAGGGTGTTTCATGATGCACTGGTAATACTAATACAAGTTAAAAACAAGGAGGGAGTGCTATGGACCACCATTCACAGCCCAAGGCCTCTTTGTGACTCTAAACACCTGATCTGAATTAAACACTTATACGTATTTACAGTAAGCTAACAGACTAACCTTGATTCCCAGTCCTTTATTAATATTCCATTCTTTTAATAACAACATTGAAGTTTGGCCAACAGTAAATACACAGATACACATCGAGGGAAAGCCCTTACAACCTAGCTTAAATTTGTTTGAGACTCCGTCAAGTCTTACTGACTGAAGAATTACTGAAGCAATTATTTGGTTAAACTTTCCTTCTCAGTTATTCTGTTAGTGTGTGTGTGTGTGTGTGTGTGTGTGTAGATCAGAACCCATCAATTTAAAAAGGAACACAAAATCTATGGTGATGTACAGTAGCTGTTGTTCCTTCTAGCATATGAGCCTAAAAGGAACATTAACCTCTTAATGTAGCAATTACATAACAACCCTCTGCGGCAACAAGGTTCCTACTTTAGTCTACTGATGCAATCTAGTCTGGACAAGATGGAACAGTTAGAGTGTAACTATCATATTGGATCAAGCTCTTGAAATGATAGTTTTTGTGAAAACATTTTCATTCTTTCACTCCAATAAATAAGAGGAGGGAGAGAAGGAGATTTGAAGGTGAAGCTGTACAGTATGCAAGTGTCGGTCAACTGAACAATTGTCCATCCATCCATCCATTTTCATCCGCTTCATCTGGGACTGGGTCACGGGGGCAGTAGCCTGAGCAGAGCCTCCCAGACTTCCCTCTCCCCATACACCTTGTCTAGCTCCTCAGGAGGAACCCCAAGGTGTTCCCAGATCAGCCGGGACAAATAGTCTCTCCAACGTGTCCTGGGTCTGCCCCAAGGCTTTCCCCAAGAGGGACATGCCCGGAATACCTCCCCAGGGAGGCGTCCAGGGGGCATCCTAAACAGGTGCCAGAAGCCACTTCAACTGGTTCAGCTCAATGTGGAGGAGCAGTGGCTTTACTCTGAGCTCCTCACCGGGCGACTGAGCTCCGCACCCTATTCCTAAGGGTGCACACAGCCACTCTCCAGAGGAAACTCATTTCTGCCGCTTGTATCCGCGATTTCATTCTTTCAGTCATGATCCAAAGTTCATGGCCACAGGTGCGGGTAGAAACTTAGACTGACCGGTAAACTGAGAGCTTCGTCTTACGACTCAGCTCCTTCTTCACCACGATGGACCGGTACAGAGACCGCATTACTGTGGACGCTGCACCGATCCATCTGTCAACCTGCCACTCCATTTTTCCCTCACTCGTGAACAAGACCCTGAGATACTTAAACTCCTCCACTTGAGGGAGCAACTTGCCCCCAACCCGGAGAGAGCAATCCAGCCTTTTCCAACTGATAATCATGGCCTCAGATTTGAAGGCGCTAATTCTCATCCCCGCTGCTTCACACTCAGCTGCAAACCCCTCCAGTGCACGCTGTAGGTCTTGAACTGATGAAGCCAATGGAAACACATCCTCTGCAAAGAGCAGAGACGAGATTCTGCAGCCACCAAAACAAGACATCCTCCGTTACCTGGCTGCGCCTAGAAATTCTGTCCATAAAAATAATGAACAGAATCAGTGACAAAGGGCAGCCTTGATGGAGTCCAACATGCACTGGAAACAGGTCTGACTTACTGCCGGCAATGCGAACCAAGATCCTCCGGTCATACAGGGAACGTACAGCCCGTAACAATGAGCCCCGCACCCCATAGTCCTGAAGTACCTCCCACAGGATGCCACAAGGGACACGGTTGAATGCCTTCTCCAGATCCACAAAACACAGCAGACTGGTTGGGCAAACTCCCATGAACCCTCCGACACCCTAGTGAGGGTATAGAGCTGGTCCAGTGTTCCATGGCCAGGGCAAAAACCACATTGCTCCTCCTGAATCTGAGGTTTGACTATCAGCTGGATCCTCCTCTCCAGTACCCTGGCATAGACTTTTCCGGGGAGATTGAGAAGTGTGATCTCCCTATAGTTGGAACACATTCTCTGGTCCCCCCTTCTTAAAAAGGGGGACCACCACCCCGGCCTGCCAGTCCAGAGGCACTGTCCTC